TTTTTTTGGGGTTTTTTTGGTCGACAATGGGTTGTTAATCTCTTTAAATTAATATAAACAGAAGAAACATAGTGAATGGGTGATATGCTGACAATCATTTTCTTCTGTGTTTTGGATTTATGTCTAATAATATCATGTGGAGCTATAATTTGACAAACTTTGTTGAACTATAGAGTACAATACTTTAACTGCACGCCAGGGGCCTACAACATTTGAGAGCAACAATTTACCAGTGGCAAGGCCAAAAACTCTTTCCCGTTATCCAAATTTTTTTAATCACACACACCCCCAATAGTATTCGGCTTATTACTTTCCAAACCCTCGTCAAACTTCCCATTCCTTGGAATGTCAATGAACTACTCGAATTAATTATGGAAAACTCCTAACTCTTGCAACAATTACAGTCTTCATTCGATTTAGATCTCACAATCCTGGATAATATTCCGTTAGTATTACTACTTCTATTATGGATCAACAAATTATGAATATTGGAAGAGCTCTCGCTGGTGTTCAAGTGATTCGAATAGGTGAATTGATTAAATAAGTAATGAGAACAATTGAAATATAACGAGAGTGACAATGAGAGGTGGTGGCAGAGGAGGAGGAACTAATCTACAGTGAGGCCCATTTGGCAGATTTAGATGGGGGATGGGGGTGCCAATTTTTTATTTTTAGAAGATTTCGAGAAAATGAATCTAGACCTTTAAATTGATTTAAAGTAAGGGTTGGATTATTTGTCAAATTCACTTGTCAAAAAGCTTTGTAGGAGGAACGCTACCCTTTATTACCTAGGCCGCCATTATTACTCATGTCTATTTGAGTAAATTTATATATGATTTAAAATATAGTAAAATTTTATTTTTAAAAGTGGATATACTTATAAAAAGTGTGGATGGAAATAGCGCTACCCTAAAAAACGTATATTTTGGTCAAGTAATTATAAAGTGGTGCTACAAATGTATTTTGTAGCGGTAATATAATTACTTTTAAAGAAATTCTTGAATAGGTATTACAATTTTCAAGGAAATCAAATTTGTATTTAATATGATTGTGTTGTGCTGTCTTCAAGACCACAGCTTCCAAACCCTAATTACTTTGTGCCTCCTATCCTTTTCTTGATTTTTAGGACCACACACTAGCTTTTCATTTTTTATGCCCAGTTTCAAGAAACCCTTCCGGATTATGCATTATTTACTGCTTCTTTTTATCGACTTGTATTTTGTAGGATCTTACATAAAGTTGACAATACTGCAACTCTCTCAGAACACACAATATAATATTGCCATTTTTCTGTTATTTTTTTTCTACTGCTCATAAGCAGCTTCATGATTCAAGAAATTCTGGTATTAGACCAGTATTCTCTATACTGGGCTATATGTCCTGGAAATTTTCTAAAATTTTTAGAAGGAATGCAAAGGGTTGAAAGGAGGTAGTATACCGAGACATAAGATGTCAAAGGGCTAACTCTGTGTTAATTGAGAGATTAAAGAATGAGGAAGTACGAGCATAAAGAAAAATCTTTTCCGTCTTCGACATTTTATGGTCAAAATTTAACTATAGCACATTTTACAAGAGTCGTTACACTAGAAAATTCAAAATTGGATTGTACATTCATGGAAAATTTGAAGAAAAATTCTAGGGAAAAACATACGTGTAGTATTTCTAGAGCCAAAATAAGGGATATATATATATATATATATAGAATTACACCAAAACAATCATAATGTCAAACTTTAACTATGATCAACAATCCTTGAGGGCAATAAATATTAACTATAACAGCAAAATCTTATGTTGTAATCTTCCAGTATAGTAAAATACATTCACATCATCGGGTGTTACTGACCTGAGTTTATCATTCCCAGCAGCTCAATGAAGCTAATTCGCGAAATCATCCATAAAATCACAACCTTCAAGAGCATTTTGTGGAAAAATATCTCGATTCTAAGAATGTTAATTCCATTAATCAAAAAGCTGAAAACTCATGTTTGTTTGACTTCCTTCCACCGTTGTTTTGGGAAGGGGGAACACTTGCTGTCATGCTGAAATGGAATGGTCCAACTGGTTCAGGTGTGGAGTGAATAGGCAAAGTAAGGGAATTTGATAATAGAGAACTGGGATTCAACATCTGAAAGTTTACTTGTTTTGGATCAAATTCGTCTGGTGAAGGAAAATAAGTTTGTGTCATTCTAGGTTGATAAACAAGAACCTGATGAGAACCCGAAGGGACAGATACTGCTGATGAAGACAATGGTGCAAGGTTGAAGTTGTGGAAATCTTCTGGTTGGGCTGGCAATCCAGCGCTCCGCGAATGAGATAATGACAAATTTGAAGGATCCCATCTGAGAAAAGAATTATACGGCATTGCATTGTTTAGAAAACCTGGGAGAGAAGATTGATTAGGCCTTGGGAAAAGGTTGTTTGTAGAAACATATGCTTCTTGGCCCTCAAGGTCACATAGTTTTTCCTCTTCACTTCTTGCCATATTTGTTTCTCCTGCAACACCCTTAGACTTGTCCATCCATAGATCTGTTCGGGATTGTTTTAAGGGTTCGTTCCAATTGAAACAGCTACTGATCTTCGGGACTTCTTTACCAGATTGAGGAGGTCTTATATTTTCATGAGAATTTAGCACTGGGTGAAGGCTTTGGCTAAAGCTCCCTGGAGGGATTTGGAGAGGAGGAAGTTCATCAATTTCATGCTTTGCAGTATTAAGTAGCCAATCAACCACCTTGCTTGGCTGATTTAGCCCTAATCGATCTTGAAGATCATATAATTGTATCGCAGTCGGAACAGAAAGCCTTATGCGCCGGTCTCTAAGGCCCCTTACGGTACAGACTTTGCTATGCCTATCTTTTCCTCCAAATGCTCGTGATACACGCACAATTCGGGGATTCTTTAACTTGGACCAAGTTGTTGAACTGGATGAAGAAATTTTGCTAACATCATCTGTGCTGCTCTCCAGTTTTGTGTTGAAATCTACTTCACTTGTATTCATCTTGTATACTTTAATAATTGGGCAAAAGAAATTGAACTTATAAATAAACTGTTCCAATCTGGGGAGGATGTTGAATCTTCTTTCTCTCCTAATTTATTTCTTTGAATAAACTTCCTCTCCCAGTTCCTCATGATTTTCTGCTACGTAAAAAGATGTAAATTAACAAAATGATCAGAAATTTGCTGCAGCTATTATTCATATCATAATCACTTCATGAGAAAAATATTACTTAATAAAAAAAAAAAAAATTGAATAGAACATATAGCCAAATAATTGATATCAGTTCAGATGAACTATATAAAATTTCCTCGAGATAATATGCAATAAAGGAGTTCGGTCCTGCAAACTATATAGGATCTGAGATAAATCTGGATTTGGTTGAAACTTGAAATACAGTTTATAATACAATGTTTTCAAGAAATCAATGGATATATTTCAGTTATAACTTGAGAAAGAAATGGATTAACTCTTGACAACTGGGCTTTACATTAGAAAGACAATCATAAGAGACGTGTACCTTTGTAATTCTGCAACTTCTATGGTCTTCATTATTTGAGAATGATAATTAAGTTGGATACATCTGAGAAGAGAACTGCTGATGAATTTACAGTTCAAATTTAATTTTTCTGAAATTCAGTATGCAGCTTTGAAAGCCCTATAATGGTTTCAAAGAGGAAAACTCTCTTTAATATAGAGTACATACTTATAATACAAGCTTTGGGATTAGAGAAAAGTAGATGCCCTCTTCAAACATCCACAGAAAGAATGGTGCATAGGCAGCCACGTGTACCTTGGCATCCGACAGATGAATGTTAAATGCTCATCAAACATATAAACGCTATTAGGCTCTTAATTGGTGAATTAAGTCTTACCTACTTATCAAGTACGATAATTGGCCATCTTTATTAGGAATACAAGTTTAGTGAAGTACGTTTTAAATTCTAATAGAGCAAAAAAGTAGTCGTAAATGCTTTATCTACAACTACAAAAGGCAGTTGAATTCCTATCACACGTTTCAACATATGCACGCCTGATATGGACACTGAGGATGATGTTAAACCCTAATAATGCCAGACAGCAACTGAATTTTGGGTCCTTAATAGTACTGTCAAGACTCACTCAGCCTTTATAATATGGTCTATATCTTCTTATATGATTTGAAAATCAGACTTAGTAACTCTAATTATTCCAAAAAAACATGCCAGTTATATGGTTCTTTTATAAACTTATATGTTGTTCATAAATTATTCAGAAATTAAGTTAATAAGCATGATAATATTAATCAAAGGAGACATCACTTCAAGAAGACTAAGAAAAATCCACTCAAAGACGTCCACGAAATAGGGCTTCAAAACTTGGACTTTACACTTGGAGCATTTTCATCTTGATGTGGATGGTGGCTAGGTGGCAGAGAGAGACTACCTTATGGGAAGGGACCAATTGCTTTTCTTGATTTAAAACTCACAATCAGCAGCGAAAGAGAGGACCACACCCTATCTTCTTGTGCAGAGAAATTTTTCTTAGATCAGTATAGGTTGAAAGTTGAATTGTGGGATTTACACAAAAAGGTGATTATATTGGAAGATTTGAGGGGTAATTAGTCATCTTTGACAGAAAGCGTAGCCGTCTTGAAGTTTCTTTCTGCATTTGGAGAAGGGATAAACAGAAATATGCCTTTTGATCCCACCAAATGTTAGAAAAATAAACATGTATTTAACCTATTTAATTTAATTTCATGAATTTAGAAGTTTGAAATACATGTATTATTATTTAATATGCACCTAGTTAATTGTGATTCATATATGCATGTATTATTACTTAATGTGTACCTAGTAAATTGTGGTGCATATAGTAGAATTAAATTGAGGGGATGAACTTATGTGATAGGAAGTCATATAAATACCTATGTAATCTTGTGTTGAAGGCAAGTCCACAATTGAATAGAAAATAATTTCCTCCTCCTAAGTTCACTTCTATTTCCTACAAAGTGGTATCAGAGCCACAATACTAGAAACAATGGCAAATACCAACATGATCCCCTTCTAAGTTCCAAAACTGTCCAAAGAGAAATTTGATAATTGGTGCATTCGCATGAAGGCGCTACTTGGTGCACATGATACATGGGACATCGTGAAGAATGGTTATGAGGCTCCCACCGATCTAGCTGCTCTCACTCAAGAACAAAGGGATCTTTTACAAAACACTAAGAGGGAGGATCAAAAGGTTGTTTCTCTTATTCACCAAGCATTGGATGAAGCCACTTTTGAGAAGGTTTCTAATGCTACTACAGCAAAACAATTATGGGATATGCTTCAAATTGCCTGCAAAGGAAAGGAGAAGGCAAAGAAAGTTCACCTCCAAAATCTACGAGGTGAATTTGAAGCTATTCAAATGAAGGAATCCGNATACAAGTTTCAAATGACGAGGGCGTGGACGAGGCTTTGGAAGAGGAGGAAGAGGTAACCATATTTTATTTCAAAGTAGAGATGAAAATTATCAATCCAACTTAACAAGATGACATGGCAGAAGAGGAGCAAGACCATATCAAAAGAGGTATGACAATTCACAAGTTAAATGTTATACTTGTCATCAATTTGGACATTATTCATGGGAATGTAAAAGTGGTGAAGGTGCGAAAGCTAACATTTCTCATGAAGAAGATATAGAAAATAATAAAGAGATAGAGTCTACTCTTTTGATAGCTTGCAAGGACTTGCAGCAAGGAGAAAAACATTCTTGGTTCCTTGATACTAGAGCTAGTAATCACATGTGTGGGAACAAAGATTTGCTCATAGAGCTTAATGAGAAGGTTGGTGGCAATATCACATTCGGGAATTCCTCCAAAATTCCAGTAAAGAGGAAAGGTAAAATCTTGATACGTATGAAAGATGAAAATCACCAATTTATTTCAAATGTCTATTATGCTCCAAATATGAAGAGAAATATTTTGAGTGTGGGTCAATTATTGGAGAAAGGTTATGTTTTGTTCACAAAAGGTTGCAGTGTGTTTTTAAAAGATGGTGTAGGGAATTTGATTGCTAAAGTACCTATGGGCGAAAAATCGTTTATTTTTGTTGTCCATACAAACTGATATGGCTAAGTGTTTGACGTCGTGTTATAAAGACTCATCATGGTTGTGGCATTTACGATTTGGGTACATAAATTTTGGAGGGCTCAAAACAATGACTAGCAATGGAATGGTGAAAGATTTGCCTCCAATACATCAGCTTTGTGAAGGGTGTTTTTTTGGTAAGCAGTCAAGAAAGGTCTTTCCAAAGGAATCTCAATCAAGAGTTTCAAGGCAACTACAATTGATACACACTGATGTATGTAGGCCAATCACTCCATGTTCTTTTGTTAAGAACAAATATTTTGTTTTGTTTATTGATGATTTCAGTAGAAAAACATGGGTGTATTTTCTAAAAGAAAAATCGGAGGTGTTTAAGTGCTTTCAGAATTTTAAAACTCTTGTAGAAAAAGAAAGTGGATTTAAAATTCAGGCTGTGAGATCAGATAGAGGAGGCGAATTCATTTCCAAAAATTTTCAAGACTTCTGTGATGCCAACGGAATTCGTCGGTTCCTAACCGCTCCAGGATCTCCACAACAGAATGGAGTTGTTGAACGAAAGAACCGAACAATTTTCAATATGGCAAGGAGCATAATAAAGACAAAGAATTTTGGGCAGAAGCTGTCGATTGTGCTATCTACTTGTTGAACTGGTGTGCCACAAAAGCTTTAGCCCACAAGACTCCACTTGAAGCATGGAATGGGAAAAAACCAGCAGTATCTCATTTGAAGGTATTTGGATGCATTGCATGTGCCCATGTTCTTGATGAGAAGCGCTCGAAACTTGATGACAAGAGTAAAAAATGTGTGTTCGTTGGCTATGATTCAAAAACAAAAGGCTATAAGCTCTATAATCCAAGTGGTGGGAGGATGTTTATTAGTAGAGATGTGGATTTTGATGAGGAAGCAACATGAAATTAGCATGTTGAAGAAGATAACTATGACTTTCTTCCTTTCTTGGAGGAAGAAGAAGACAATGAAGAAATACATGAGACCACCACTCATCCAACATCACCATCACGTGGTGACATTGATGTTTATGAAGGAAGTTCAAGTGAAAGGCCTTTGGTTACAAGGAGGCTTGATGATATATATCGAGAAATCGAGAGAATTAATGATATTATTTTCTTCTGTCTGTTTGCAAATATTGAGCCCATAAGTTTTAATGAAGTTGTTGAGGATGAGAAATGGAGAAAAGCCATAAATGAAGAAATCGGAGCAATTGAGAAGAACAATACTTGGGAATTAACAACTCTTCCCAAGGGACATGCTGCCATCGGAGTTAAATGAGTATACAAAACTAAGAAAAAAATCAAAAGGAGATGTGGAAAGATACAAAGCAAGACTCGTGGTGAAAAGATACAAACAGCATCAAGGCATCAATTATGAAGAAATTTTCGCTCCGGTAGCTCGTTTAGAGACCATACGATTGATAATTTCTTTGACTGCTTAGAACAAATGGAAGATTTTCCAAATGGATGTCAAGTTAGCCTTTCTCAATGGCTATCTTGAAGAGGAGGTCTATGTGTAACAACCCCCCGGTTTGTAGTAAAAGGAAATGAGGACAAAGTGTTGAAATTAAAGAAAGCTCTTTACAGCCTAAAGCAAGCACCAAGAGTTTGGAATTGTAGAATTGATAAATATTTTCAGGAGAATGGCTTTACAAGTATCCTTATAAGCATGCTCTCTACATTAAGGTAAATGACAATATTGTTCTGATTGTTTGTCTGTATGTCGATGATCTAATTTTTACAGGCAACAATCCAAAGACGTTTGAAGAATTCAAGAGAAAAATGTGCTGTGAATTTGAGATGACAGATTTAGGATTTATATCCTATTATCTTGGGATAGAAGTAAAGCAGACAGAGGAAGGCATTTTCATCGTACAAGAAAATTATGCAAAAGAACTTCTACAGAAATTCAACATGAGTAATTGCAATCCAGTTAACACTCCAGAAGAATGTAACATCAAACTTTCTAGATATGATGATGGTGCAAAGGTGGATCCAACCTTGTTTCGAAGCTTAGTTGGAAGCCTGAGATATTTAACTTGTATAAGGCCGGATATATTATTTGGAGTAGGACTGGTTAGTCGTTGTATGGAGGCTCCAACAACAACACATTTGAAAGCTGCGAAGAAAATTTTACATTACATCAAAGGTACTCTTGATTTCGAGTTACATTATTATGCCTCTAATGTTTTCAGACTTAGAGGTTTCAGTGATAGTGATTGGGGTGGCGACATTGATGATCGAAAGAGTACCAGTGGATTTGTATTTTACATGGGTAACACAGCTTTTACTTGGAGCTCAAAAAAGCAACCAGCTGTTACTCTGTCAGCTTGTGAAGTTGAGTATGTTGCTGTCAGTTTTTGTGTTACACAAGTAGTTTGGCTAAGGAATTTGTTGAATAAGCTTCATTTTACACAAAGAGAGCATATTGAAGTAAATGTGAATAACAAATCAGTCATTGTTTTAGCAAAGAATCCGTTGTTTCATGAATGTAGCAAGCATATAGATACCAAATATCACTTTGTGCATGAATGCATTGCAAACAAGGTATTGAAGATTAATTTTGTGAAGTCTCAAGACCAAATTAGAGATATTCTCACCAAATCTCTCGAGTTAAATACTTTCAAGGCATTAAGAAGCTTGCTTGGAGTATGCAAAATTCATGTTTTCGGAAAAATAAACATGCATTTAACCTATTTAATTTAGTTTCATGAATTTAGAAGTTTGAAATACATGTATTATTATTTAATATGCACCTAGTTAATTGTGGTTCATGTTTGCATGTATTATTAATTAATGTGTACCTAGTAAATTGTGGTGCATGTAGTAGAATTAAATTGAGGGGATTAACTTATGTGATAGGAAGTCCTATAAATACCTATGTAATCTTGTGTTGAAGGCAAGTCCACAATTAAATAGAAAATCATTTCCTCCTCCTAAGTCCACTTCTATTTCCTACACCAAATTATTAGCTCTTCTGAAGTAAAGGATTGTGGACTAAAAGCAAAAATAAAAAAAAAAACAAAGAAAAAGAAAAACTGGAACTCAGTAAACAAAAACACGGTGAAAATGCTAGGAGAAGAAATAACCAGGTCAAGAAAAGAAAATTAAATGACGGCTTTTCAAGAGCTCAATCCCATTATATACTTGGTAATGCAGGTACCAGACGATGAAAAATAATGAAATATGTACGTATATCTTCTTGTTAAATCATGTCCAATAGTACATATAGACTATGCCATGCTAGGGTAAGAGAGAGGTTTCATGTGACTTACAAGTTATAAATTCACATCAGAAGTAAACTTTACCTAGAATAGTTGAAAAAATGAAAAATGGAAAGGTTTCTCAACTACCTGCAGTATTAATAATTAACTTAAATATGAATGTGTGCAAGATAAATGACGCCATTGAACTTATTAAAAATTTCCCATCTATCAGCTGGAGATTTACAATAAAGAAATCTGGCTGGTATAACAGTCCATAAAAATTATTGAACACAGAAAACATTAGTCTAGGAGACGAAGTATTTTTACTTTAGATTACTGTTCTCAATCTCCTTTTGTGTTCGTAATACCAATTTGAGACCTACTTCCATTAAACTTCAAAAATCTTATATTCAGGTCATTACTTCCTGGGAGTATTAATGTGCGCGTCGTTATCAATCCTGATTCAAGTTTCTGCATAAGAAAATTAGAATAATCTTTGATGCATGACAAGATTCAATTCACATAATATCTTTCAATATTTCCCATTTATTTCGAGGATACTTCCACTATTACAGAAAATGAAATTTTTGTTATATAATATTCATTTTATGCAGGAAGTGAAACTGTCCGTCTCTGGTAAAATGAAAACAAGCAGTGATGGGAATCTCGAGAAGGGGCAGAAGCAGTTAGATTTGAAGGTTTATAACAAGGCTATAACGACAGAAAATCTTTGACATACAAGTGGATCGACACTCACAACATAGGGGATCCACTTTTTTTTTTGAATTTTTAATTAGACAGGACCCACGACATGTGAAAGATTGTCACTGCTTCTGTCAAAGGTTTTCTTTCACAGGGGTCTAATCCTTGAAGGTACCCTACATGCATTATTGCCAAATAAATGGTCCCAAGATCCCAAACACAAGTTCTCTGGTCAGGTTTCAGAGATACATCGCTATAAATTATAATCGCCTTCGATCTTTTAATTTTCCTACCCCACCCACCGCCCATCCACGCCACCCCACCCCACCCTAACTTCTCTACATATTTATCATATGCTCCTAATACAGATTGGTATTCTAAGTTGAAATGAGTTTCTAAGTGTGAACAAAGACGGGATAGTGGACAAACATCTCATACGAGTCATTCTCTATAATCAATTATTTAGGCGAGTAGGTCGTATTCTTTAGAAACCAACAATTAATCTCACAAGAAGAAGAAATGAGCGGCCAGTCTAGAAAAACTATACAACTATTAGGATACTTCTTTATTTTGTAGGTAATTGATAAATGAAAGGCAGGAAAGGCCAGTACAACTGCAGCGTGCTATTTGTACGTAAAGTTGGTATGTGAAAGTATAATTATTGTCGGAAGAAGCAAAGGTAAAAAGGAAAATGGAAGGGAAAAAGTGAAAGACAAATTGAAGATTAATTGCAGTGGTGAGACTTTACATTATGGAAAAAACCATAAGTAAGGGTTTATTTTGATGGAAGCTTTGGCAGCACCTGATTCGCGGTTATTTTATTTATTTATTTATTTTTGGATAACTGCCAATGAAACTACGCTAAGTGGAATCTTGTAAAATTCTATGAAAATTTTTCTTTACACATTTTCAACTAAAATATATAATAGAGTTTGGCAATATATTGCTTGTGTTGACCTCTTTGCTTTGTAGTGAGTTGGTATTTAAATGCTCGATCGCATTATTATTTTTGACTTTTATATGTGGTTCGAAGGTGCCTCCTCCTATCCTGATATTGAGTCAGGCCCCGGCATCATTCGACTCGCTTGCAAGCTTGTCTGGTTATCCTGAGCACAAACCCTTGAACCAAAAGGATAGACTCACCTTATTTGTTCCATGATCTATGGGCGAACCATTAATGCCAATTTCATTAAACAAAACGATTGAATCCAATGCACTTCCACGGTGAGGTAACGGATGAGTACTTGGTCTTGTTTGAGGACCGAGCAACAATTCTTTGCTTCTTAGAATTCTAAGAAGTGGAATTCTTGCCAAGAAAAACAACATTAACAGCAGTTGATGTTCCTATAATCTACATTCCCAAATAATTGGAATTGTAAAAGGCGTCAACAAACTTGTAAATTAGCACTCGCGAATTTCTGATCGGTGTAATATCATATGACATAAAAATAAAAGCATGATAAGACTTCTGTGAAAATAGATAAACTGAGTATCATAGTCATAATTGATTAAATCTTGCTTGAACAACCAAAGAATTAATTGGTAAAGTGCAATCTTTTTCATTGTATATCTAGATATATAAGAGCAATTAATCAACTTGTCAAAGTAAGATCCACAAAATAAACTAGCCTAATTAAATTACTGTAAGCATCGAATTATATACAATAAATACATGATATAGACAATTATATGCTCCAACAACATAAGTCATTGTTTCCTTAATTTATCTTCAATTTTTATTACGTCCATTTATTTACAAAATCTAATATTACATACATAACACAATAATAAAGAATTGTTAATCAACCTGCAATCACTACAGTAAAATTAACTTTTCACAGCATTCAATGTATACAGTAAAAAAGAGACATCTATTCTATGGCGTGCATATGGAAGACATAAAGTTAGTTAATTGTGGCATTCTATGTATGCCATAAGAAGAGATATCTATTTTACTGAGTGCATGTGGAAGCTGGAAAAAGTTAGTTAACGACGCTCTTTCAATTTTGTTACAGCATTCAATGTATACCGTAAAAAAGAGGTGAGTAACGGCATTGCTTTACACGATGTTCTGCTGGTATATGGTAGGAATCACAAGTATTCCTAGGGATGCCCCTCTTTTCCCTTTATCTCTCTACTAAAGCTTTTTCTGTGTAAAGAATTGTCTTAAGGAAGCTGGTTATGAGGTAAAGATACAAAAACCAAAAGACTTTAACTTTGTTTCATTTTATCTTTAAATCTGATAACAGAGGAGAAACGCGCAGTTCAACTTTCTCTGTCATCTTTGCATTATTCACTGGGGGCATTTAATCACTGGCTTTTACCTTTTCATTTGTTTTTTTTTTTTAGGGTTTCCATGTCCTTTTCATTGGCTCACAGATGAATTCATTATTAGCTGCATTAACAGAAGAGTCAGAAATATCAGATTGTAACAAGACAACTTTATCTAGCTAGCTTGCTTCCAAATTATTTATGTATCAGTCTGATTTTCACTTAGTCCAGGGTGCCCTAAAAAGGGTTCACCTAATTGATTTCAAATTCATTTTAAACAAGTCTATTTGTTGTGATGCAATTCAGCGGAATAAAAGATAAACTCACGATTATGAATATAGAGCGATCACAAGTCCATTGATTTCATGAATACTTATTCAAGATTGGAAAATAATATCTAAATGTATCGCCTTGTATTTCCACTGCATCAATACTGGTATCAATCTGATTTCCACCGAGTTCTGGGTATCCTAAAAAGAATTCACATAGTCGACCTCAAATTTATTAAGAACAAGAACCCCTTAATTCTCATTCATTACAATACATGCTAATTGCCAAATGCTACCATTTTCTTTAATTCCTTCTAAGTTCTCAATATTCGTCAATATTGCTCTCCTCTTTGCGAATATGAAACATCCACCATACTCCTCTAAAAAAGACATGATATAAATACCTCTCTCCCATAGCCATGTGTGATCTTACAAAACCAATTCTTACAGTACTCCTTGATATATCTAATGGTGATTGAACCAGCAGTACAAAGGCTTACTTAAAATGTGAGTCCATGGGGTAAACCAATATGCAACCTTCTTACCAGATTAGGATAAAAATTGAACCATCGCACTAGCTGCTGATCTGAAAGAACAAGACTAGGCATATGCGTAAACTGTACAAGGATTGTTACTAAACAGTGCCTGCAGAACCCGTGCACGACACTTTAACATGAACACTCCCATCATGTTTCGAAGATTTCTTGTGCCGTTGGAAGTAGATTTGCCTTCGTTTATAACACATCATCGTGAATGTTACTGCCTTATTATGTTAAGAAACACTTAAATTTGGAGTTTCCGGGTTTGTGCCTTTGTGATTTAACTTAAGAATATGAAAAAATAGGCCTCTCGTTTCTTTTTAATCATTCAGTATGGAAAAATACCGTTCAAATATACTTTCATCAATCATCAGTAACTATTCTTGCCCGAATTAGAAGCTCCAGGAATTTCTCTCATATCCTTTAAAAATCGGTCATTAAAAAATCCTACAATACTCAATGCATTCAAAATGATCGCTCAAGAATCCCAAGACTGTAAAATCCTACAATATCAAGTGTGTGTTTGAGACCCATTTTCCATTAAAAATGAGTTTTGTAATAATAATTTTTTTGAAGAATATATGATTAAAAAATATAGAAAAGTTTTAAGTTTACGTACAAAATTATTTTATTGGAAGATTGTTTGTGTGAAGATGAGTTTGAAAAAGAAAATTGAGTTTTTATGGAATAGAGGTCAAAAAAGACTAAATCCCATCAAAATTGCCAGTAAAACAGAAAAATAAAAATCCATACGATAACATTTTTAAAGAAGAGTGCTCTGAACACGATAAAATTCGTGTCCTTAAACGTGTTTTCAATCCAATACTAAGCCCATGTCTGGTTTTAATAAAAATCTATATCAAAGTCAACAATTAATTTTAAATACATTTCATAGAATTCACGTCTTTTTTTTTCTTTATATCAAATTTGTAATTCCACATCTCATATCTTTTGATAAAATATACCAAAAATTCAATTTTTTTTAGCAAAATCAAACAGGGAATAAAGATAAAGGGAAAAATTCATTTCTAAGAAGGTAAGTTTACCCTTTTTCAAAATTAACAACAAAGGTTTATGCCCTGTTTGGCACCCATTTTTATCAAAATACATTTTTCTCTCTCTTCATTTCAACTACACATTCTTTATTAAAATAATATTACACGTAAATCAAAAACTTTTTTTTATTTTTCAACCACACATTTTCCATCAATTTACTATTCAAAAATACATTTTCACATAAAAATTCCTACCAAACACCCTCTTAAATTTTTCAGATTTTTAAAATTTTATTAATAAATTAATTTATTATATAGTTTTTATTAATTAAATATATTTATGTCACAATTTTTTGTCACGGATATTTAATTAATTAGTCACAGATTAATTTTTAGTCACAATTTATCAAATTATTGATCGCAACTTATTTCTCGATTACAAATCGAAAATTTTATAGGTCACAGATTATTTATCGGTCACAGAATCAAACCTTTTTAATGGTCACAACTCATTTCCTCATTGCAAATTATTGAATTAATTGGTCACGATTAATTTTCCTATCAAGATTTATTACTAGAGTCACTGTCACAACTTTCAAGTCATAATTTAATTTTCCAATCATGATTATTGGAATCATAATCACAAGTTTCAGGTCTCTTATTCAATTTTTGAGTTACAATTGAAGTCACAGTCATGCATCCAACCATTTCCACAACCATCGCATCCACCAACACAACCGTGCACCGCCTTAAACAATATAGTCATCCTCCAGATCAAACAAAAGTCTACCACCGCAAGCACCCCAAATCATTGCCACCATCGTCGCCGCCACACACTAACACCATAGATCCACGATAGTTGCAGATCACTATCACTGCTGTCTCACACAAAAGAAAACGCAGCCTCACGCCACACCATCGCCGCACACACCACCACACCCACGCACAATACACACCCCCACATCAACACCACGAATCACCACACCACTGTCACCGCAGCCTCAAGCCACCACCGCCGCAGACACCACAACACTCACGCACATACACACCGCCGCCACACACACACCACCACAAATCCACAACAGATCGAGATAGCAGTACTTTCGATTGTTAGATCTGCACAGATTGGGACAGGCAGTTCCTCAAATTGCCACCAATTCGTCGATGCTGCAACGGAACAGTTCCTCCTTCTATCGACGATGCTGCAACAAAGTAGCTCTCTATCGCCGATCCTCCATCGTCGGGCAGTTGAGAGAGAGAGAATCGGGGGTTGAGAGGGAAATGAAAGTGGAGAAAAATTAGGGATTTGTGAATAATATATATTCAGTAAATGTTCTGATTTATGAAATTGCAAATTTGAAATTTGATTTTAGAACTCTAGATTTTAACTCTAGGTTTCCTGTAATTTTCACAAAGATAAATTATGGATACCCCTTCTCATCCACATATTCACTCAAAAAATGGCTCATCGGACGAGAAAAGGCCAGGAGGAAGCAATTTTGATGACTTCGTAATTTGTTACATTACTAAGGCCACTATGCTGTAGTCTAATATGGTATATTATGTTATTTGTACCTTTTCATCTCTTTGTATTTTTTATTTTTTTTTTCTTTTTTTCAATTTTCTAAGAGAACTTAAGAATCTTTTTCTCTATTTGTTACGTCTAAATCAACAAAAATCGTTATTAAAAAAAGTATGGATCTAAGCTACGATTCAACTACAGAAACCAAAACAAACTAATTTTATTGACTCGATATAATAAAAAAATATTGTTTGACGTCATGTTGACATTTAACGGCACCATGCAGGATTGACGTCAATGCTTTAAACCGAATGAACATTAATGGAATAATTGGAATTTTGAGTAATTATTACCACATAAAAGTAACTTTAATGCTTACTAACATAAGGAAAGTGCTATATGTACATAATTATCTACATAATGATATCCATAATTACACGTAGCACTGAATCCAATATTTAATTTAAATCTCATACTTGCATATCAACAATCGGATGATTATCATATCACATTATGTACACCATTATGTGCAATAATTATGTACCAGTAAAATTTTCCTTAACATAATTACAAAAACTTGACAATTGCCGTTATTAATCCGCTAAATGATTATCCCAAATGAATAACAAACCAAACCTTCACCGTTCAGGGTTTCACCTGCATTAGACTGAAAATCTCTCCTTAAAGGAGCATCACAGTAATTCCTCTGTACCTCATCGTCTTTCCGAGTAAAAAGTTGAAACTAAGAAACTATAGCAGATTCATTGTTGGTGACATGGAAAATGGCTAGTGACGCATTAAATTTTCGATTGTCATAGGAAGAAGATGAAGAGAGAGGCGAAGAAACAATTGGTACCCAACTTCTGCATAAAAATACCCGTGCAATAATGCAGAGTTTCAGTCCAAAAATACAAGAAAGATTATCAAGTGAATCCTAGACGTAAACCACAGATGTAGAGGTGATAAAACCCGATTATGATAAATCCCAACTGTGCATATTTCCACGTGCCATAGGATCAGGAGACAGTTTCGCTGTAAAATTGCGACTTCATATCACATGATGTGCTGCAATGGTGGGAGGCGAGGGGGTAAATCTCCAGATCCATTTGCCTAACTGCTGATGATATTTCTATACCTCTTTTTATTACAAATATTTTGCTCTTTCACACGCAGTTCTTCTAAAGCTTAAGCATAAACTGAGTACCTGGGGAGGGCAGTTACCAGCAAAATGGGAAGGTGGGCATAACTCTATGAAGAATGTAGTGAAGTGGTAAGACTTGGAATTTCATGCAGACATATAAGAATTGATCATAAGGTTGTTTATTATTAATATCTAAGAACTGAAAGAGCTAAATAACAGTATGCTCAGACAGCTCAGTGTGAATTTGCTTGACGAGAACATCAATATGCTGCCAAAGTTGGCAAGGATTAGGCCTCAACATCTGTAAGTTTATCGACTCAGTGGGAAGTGCATCACTTATTTTGCTAAAAACTACACATTTAAAATTGGAAGTGAACATTCTTGTTCCTAAAAGAACGACAATCTGACAGAATGTACTGGATGAAACACAGACTTCCTTACCCAAAACTACTACCCATATTTAGTAATTTTAGCCCACAAGTTGAAAATTTAAGTTCAACAGTATCATGGGCACTCAAAGGTGAAACAAAAGGTTACCACTAATACTTTATCCAAAACTACTACTCATATTTCTATCATGGAAATTCGAGGAAACCGAAGGTGAAAACATGTCTTGTATTTACAAGGAATAGGTTACACTAAACTGTGTAGGACAACTTTCAGTTTCCCACCCAACAAAGTAAAAGGTTAAGCTGGGGCTCGTGAGTGCTGAATGGTGAAATGCTATTCATCAAATATTTAGCATACTACCATAAAGTTCAATTAAGATTCCATTACCCCTAAATGACTTCTTGTTCCGGTTAGAAGTAGAACACAACATTTCATCCAAGCTCATAGAACTATGGAAAGCTTCCCATCTAGAAACATGAATACCATAGAAATGTATGTGCATGCTGCAATACAAGTTTTACGATAACACTCGATAAAATCACACTCCAGTGAGCCACACAGCAAGCACGTAAAGATGCAAAATAATATTTGGCCACAAATTATTAAAAAAAGGTGCAAAAGCAGCAATCCAGATTTCATGGAAACACATAATACTTACAAAATGGTAAACTTCAAGTTGTCGACAAGCATGCGAGGATGCAGAAATTAATGTTTGCCGCTAATTATTAGAATAATACCTGACAAGCTGACACGGCATTACAATTCAATACAACAATCCTCTTGTTTCAAACAGAAGTGAATGATGAGCATTTCAAAGAGAGGAAAGGACTATAAGAACGTTGGATTCAGTGCAATTTAAAAATGACAAATGGAAACCGAAAACAGACATTTGGGTACTCTAGATCGGACTTTCTAAACACCATTCTTTAAAATTATGAGTGGCCAGATGCTTATTTATCACAGCTCGTCGTCCTGTTAAAGAAGGAAAAGGAAAATTTCAGCCAAAGTCAAATAGTAAACCAAACTTCTACCCTTTGAAGAAAGAAGATGACCCCCCACCTCTACCCAGTAAAGCAAGCCAATAAAAAAGATTTTAACTGCAATAATATAAGTGTGTGAAAGTATTAGTGCTCGCTCACCTCCACCCAGAAGCAACATTGCCTGAAGGGGGAAACAGCATATTCTATGGTTTCCACACAAGAATGGCCATCAATTGCCGTAAATTTTAGCTTATCGTGATGAGAAACATTGACATTATTTATTGTTGGTTTTCTTTCATTTGGAATGTTTTGAGTTCAGTTCAAGTCTTTTAGGATGAGAATAACATTATTCTGCATTGAATTTTCTTTTAAAAAATTATTCTAAAGAATTATTCATCCATCTCACTCTCTCTCCCTCCTCTCTCCACAACACAACCAATTGTATGGGAAATACTTCAGGAAGTTACGCAGGGGCATCACTAAGTAGAGCACCAACTCTGCAAATCTCTAATTAACTTTCTTAGACTAGACCTATCTTCACAAGCCCAGGTCCATTATATATAAAGAGGATACAACAGTAAAAGCTCACCAGGATTACGGAAATTACATCTGCTGATTTTCTGTTTCCCTCCCCCACCCTCCAATTATTAACAGTGTCTATGGCAGCATCACCGGATTATAAGCCCATGATAAACTGTGATAATATATGTCCGTCTCACTTGAACATACTAGATCCAAATTTATATATATATAATCTTTTGAGTAAATGAATATGAAAGTTTTCAAAACAGATTTGGACTGCATCAAATCATCCTGAAATCAAAATGCACGAAAAATCATTTCAAATTCCAGTTCGGAAACACTGGAGTACTAAAAAGTTACTAGATGGTTCCGTAATTTCAACAATCGCCCCATCAATCAACCCTCCATCACTCCCCCCAGAAGAACTATAATAATTAATAAATTGTCACCAATAACAGGTTTACACTGAAAAATGTAAAAAAGTATCCATCATTTCTGATTACCCATTCAATGTCCACAATGAAAACTCATTCATAAGAATCAAAGCCCATATTTCAATTACAAATCCCAACTCATAGCATCCACAAAAAACCCCCCAAAAAAGTTTTAATTAAATTAAAATTCCGATATCACTATACCCGAATTTTCATTTCTGGTAGCCCCCACCAATTGCATTATCATCCTCGACAACCTTCGCAGTCAAATAAGGCCTGGGGAAGTCACTGGTATCAAAAGTTTTCTCCTTCATCATCTTCTCCACATCAGCCTTCTTCAAAACGGTGCGTTTTATAGGTGGGCGATTGCGGCGCTGATCGCGGGAGTAGTACTTGATATCATAAACAGTCTCGGGAAGGGAGGTGGGGATGATGGCTTTCTCGGGGACAGTGGCGGGGCAGAAGACCCGGTACTCGGTAGCTTTGGGCACCGCCAACCTGTACTCCGGATCGGCACATGGGCCCGTGATTTCCCACGGCTTCTTCATGTACCGCCGGAGGGTTTGGACTAGGGATTTTGCTGCAGAGGCCATTTGGAAAATTGGGTAATGGGAATGAGAGACTAGGGGAAAACAGGTGAATTGATTTGCGAATATGAGAAGGCGCAAAGCCACAAACAGCGATCGTAGGCTATAATTGATGGAGTAAATTTAGCCCAGTTTGGCCCCATTTTTGGTAATGAAAATTGGAGGAGTAGTATTTTTAAAAAAAAAATGAGTAATTGAAAAAGAGAAAAAAATTTCGATTTATGTGTAATATTACTTTATGAAAGATTGTGTGGTTGAAAATAGAAAAATAAAATGTAATGGAATGTAATTTAATGGGGGTCAAACAAGGGCTTAGCCCACGTTTGCCCCATTACATGAAAAAATTAATGAGTGGAATAGTATTTTTTTGAAAAATGAGTGGTTGAAAAAAAAAAGAAAAATTTTCGATTTACGTATAATATTATTTTATAAAAGATTGTGTGGTTGAAAATATGAGAAATAAAAATAAAATGTAATAGAATGAAAATTAATGGGGATCAAACGGGGGCTAATCATCACTCACTGAACTTTAGGGATGTATTCAATTAGATTTTTAAAGATTTTGATAGAGTTTTTTTAAGTGATGATTTTTGTGAATTTCGTGGATCTTTTAAATATTTGTATGGATTTAATGGAAATCTTTCATAGATTTTTATGAATTTTCATTTTAAAATGTTTATAGACTTTTGTGGAATTCAAAAAACTTTTGAAAACTTTTATTTGAAATAAAATTCAGATGAATCTGGTGTGAGATTTTCAAATACGAGATGTTAGTTTCCATAATTCCCTTTTTCCTTCCCCTTCTTCTTCCCATATAATAAAAAAAATCAAAAAATAAATAAATTTAAGACCTTAATTAAATAAATAATAATCAAAATTATACATATATATGATTCAATATTATTTGTATAGTATACTTTTAAAAATAAATAAAAATCAATATATTTAAATTTAATTATAAATTTTTATAATTTAATAGCAAAAAATGAATGAAAAAAGAAAAAAGAAAGTTATAAGAATCCAATTTAATTTTTCATAGAAAATAGAGAGAAATAATAAAAGAGAGAAAGAAAATAAATGGAATATAATAAATAGAAAAAAATAATTTTAATTATACATGTCCATAAAAAATTAAAGGAAAGAAAGATTAAAAAAAAGTTTTTTTTGGTAAAAGTATTCCAAAATCTCGTGATTAATGAGAAACAAATTTTAATATATTATATGAGTACTTTCTGCTTAAAAATTAGTATTTCTGAGACTTGTATAAAAGTCACTAAAAGTCATTAAAATTTGAATACCCTAAAATTTATAAAGACTTATAAAAAGTTTTAATTGAATGTACCATAACTTTTAGAGATTTTTTAAAAGTCTACAAAAATTTTAATTGAATACACCGTGACTTTTAGAGAGTCTCAAAAAATCTCGATTGAATACCCCTAAACTTTTTAAATTTCAAAAAGTTATTAAAAGTTTCAATTGAATACACTCCCTTAGTTTTGTTACTACACACTGATCTTTAACAGGTTACCCAATACTCACTCATCTTTCAATATAATTACTCATCCACTGCTCATTTAACTTCCGTCATTCCAAGTGGATGGAAAATACATGTGGAAAACAGAAATTCTTACGTGGCAATTCTTCCTTATCCACTTCAACCATATTAGTCAAATCCCAATCCAACTCCTTAGTCAAATTCCAATATTTTCCACCTTTTCGTCACTCTTAATATCCAACCTCAAAGTCTCCTTCTTCCCTCGAATTCCATCTCTAGAAGCGGCCATTTGGGAAAAATAAAAAGGAAAAAAAATCCCAATCTTTTCTTGGGAAACTACCACTCCAAATTTGTAGTTTTTCCTCATCTTCTTCAACCATACCAACCCAAATCTTATTTTTTAATTTCACAATTTAAAAATTCGTTTGTTGTTTTCCAATCTTTCTGCGGTTGCTCAGCTGATTTTAGATTTTCAGAATCATCTTTAGTTGCTTTAGGTTCCAAACTACATGTTGAAATTGGAATTGAGACCATGATCTCCTTTAGAACAACCAGCAGCCAATGTCGTAGCTTATGGTAAAAGATTTTCTGCTAAATATTTGAAGATAATTCATATCCCCAGCCAATACCAAAAGCACTAAATACTGGGCAGTTATACATATATATATATAATTCATATCCCTAGATAATACCGAAAGCACTAAATACTCAGCAAGTGAATTGATGAAGAGAGAGAGAGGGGTCTATTGGAGAGGGATATGAGGGTGAAACTACCCATTTATAGACAATTGCAGGGAAGGCGGCGGGGACGAGAAGGGTGGTGGTGGTTGTCGAAGACAGAAGCAACGACGAGCTGGGTTGATTTAGTTTTGGTGGCATCATGTTTGGGGAGAGTGAATTTAATAGATGTGGTTGGGTTTTGACCGATGAGTTGGATTGAGATTTGACTGATATTGTTGAAGTGGATGAGTTTGTTTTTCCAGATGTATTTTTCATCTACTTGGAATGCCGAAAGTTAAATGAGTGGTGGATGTGTAATTATATAGAAAGACGAGTGAGTATCGGATAACCTGTTAAAGATCAGTGAGTAAGTAGTAACAAAATTAAAGTTCAGTGAGTGATGATTAAATTTACTCAATGATAAAGTTTTGAAAATAGCCTTTCTCAACATTAAAAAATAAAAATAAGGATAAATTACAAGACATCCCTATAATTTGGAAGACATTTTCTTACTTCCGAACAGGGGAGAGAAGTACTACGCCCTTGTTTGGTTTTTGAGAAAAAACTAAGGGTGCGGTTGGTATAGTTTTCCACTTTCCATTTTCGGTTTCAAAACGATTTTTAGTTTTTCTCAAAAACGACGCGTTTTGGGCATTTTCCACATTTTAGGAATTTATAACTGAAAACGTTGAAAATAATAAAAAGTCATTTTGCATTTTCAGTTATAAATTTTAACTCGTTTTCGAAAATTCATTTCGAAAATGATGGACCAAACACATTTTCCGCTTTTTCGAAAACGAAAAATGGCTCGAAAACGCCAAATCAACCGCAATTTGATTTTTAGTAAATTTTAATATGGTTGAAAATTTCTGAATTTCATGAAATATATAATAAAAATTAATCATTGACTTTAATTTTTATTTTAATCAACTTTTTAGTTGAATCAAATTGGATTTAGGTCCAATTGACATGATTTTATTTATTTTTTTGCTTTCTCTAAAAGAACTTATTAAGGAAGTTACATTAAATTTTTTTTTTTTTTTGAAAACTAGTTTTTAAAAATCTCTTAGTCAGGAATTGTTTTAGAGAAAGCAACATTTGACCAATTTCTTTTAAAGACTCTTCAATTAGAAGATGATTTTTTTTTTTTTATAAAATTAGTTAAACAGATTCAAAAGTAACTTTTGAGTCTCAAAAGATTATGCTGGCTTCCTTAAAAGCCATAGCAAACATGACCTTAAATTACTTTTTATGAAAAAAAAAAAATAATGCTACCTGATGCTACCAAAAATCATACTTGGTAGATCTCCCGAGCACGAGGACTAAGAAAGGAACGAATAAGGCCTTCCAATACTTGCAACGAAGGCAACGAGATGTGTTCTCGTCGTCCCTACGATACTTAAGTCAGAAGGGAAATGTATATGAGGATATATGCTGAAATTGCATGTAAAAGCGTACCTGAATAATGAACCTGGGTCATGTATTTATAGAGGTAGATAGCGTATTCCTAATAGGATTGATTTAGTTGGATGTTCTTGTCCAATAGAGTTCTACTTGAGAGGAGTATTTTATTTGTAATATAATTACATGACCAATGATGCTATTGTTGACATAGAGTTCTTGTAGACGTAGGAGCCCTGGGTTAAAGTGTTTTAATCATATTAGAGTCCTTGAAAGGTAGGACTTCTTATGGGCTTGACGAAAAAGGGTTCGGTATGAAGGGAATAACTCGAGGAGTCATGATCGTATATCAAAACAATGCTCGAGAACTTATGCCCAAAGACACTACCGACCAGATCACGAGGATGCAAATTGCCACTCCTCGGGTATATTACCCCGAGGACCATGTGCCCCAATATGTGATAAGCAAGACCCTATGAGTCCTTAAGACAATCATTTCGAGAGGTTGCCAAAAGTGACTACATCACTACCTATCACCAATAGTGCTAGAACACCAGTGTGTGGCAACATTTGATATGTTTAATTAAATGAATTATATGACATTATATTTAAGTGAATCTATCATTCAAAAAATAATGTTATCTAGCACTGATAGTACTAGAGCACCAGTGAATGTGACAACACTTAATAGGTTGAATTAAAGAAATTATATGATATTACATTTAAGTGAACCAATCATATAATGTGATGCAATTGCCACTTAAATTCGTGCTTGATATCAATAATACTGAATGACTTTGCTCTTATGAAAATGCAATAGAAGAAATTTATGGTGCTAGACAAATGTAAAGAGAGGTGCGATCGGGGCTTAACTCCAATTGTAAAAGTGAAGTCTTGCCAAGTCCATAACCTAAGTTCGAGTTCCATTCGGGAATGGTGAAATTCCCTATATATATATTATTGAAATTCTGAAAAAAAGGGGGAAAATATATTTTGCCTTGTTTGATTTTGATTAAAATTTTAAGTCAAAATTAATAATTAATTTTAATCACATATTATATAGGATGCACAACTTTTTAACCATATATTTTATCAACTTTTAAATCTACTGAAAATTCAATTATAATCTACACCAAACATAGACTTAGCAAGAAATTTTATCAAAGGATCCTTTCAAAGAAAATAATACTAATAATAATAATTATTATTGTATAGCCCTGTTTGGTGCGATTTAAAATCTTGATAAAAATTTAAGTCAAAATCAAAAATTAATTTTCATAATATATTTACAGGCTGTTTGATTCCCATTATTTGTCAAAAATGCATTTTATAATAGTGATTTAATGGAGAATGTGTGGTTAAAAAATAAGAAAAAAATTTGAATTTATTTGTAATATTATTTTATTGAAGAATATGTGATTGAAAATAAGAGAGAGAAATACATTTTTGAAAATAATAGGAATCAAATGGGGGCTTAATAAGATTCACAATTTTTATCAAATTTTGAACCACACATTTAATTAACTTTTATCAAATATACCAAATGTAGCATAATTGTTTTCTTGGAGCATAGTTTTCGTAGTTTAAATTATTATAATTTAAATATTATATTTTTTATTCACATATTATATACGATCTATGGCTTATTATTCAATTGTTAAACAGACTCGAGAGACTACTAACAAGCATTAATGTCCCGTTTGGTACTCATTTTTTTTAAAATGTATTTTTCTCTATTTTCTTTTTAACTACACATTCTTTAATAAAATAATATTATACGTAAATAAAAAAATTTCCTTATTTTTCATTCACACATTTCCCATTAATTTACTATTCAAGAATCCATTTTTACATAAAAAAAAAAAGATCTCCCAAACTGGCCAAACACCCTCTAAATGTCGGCTAAACAGCTCATACTCGAAGCAACTTTGAGTATTTCGTCACAATCAGTCGGAGCCCCGTGTCTCCTTTTATCGGACGCAACATCTCTCTACCTCCCTCTATTGATTCTGTAGCGGTCTCTTCTCTCTCAACAATTACTGCTTCATCACATCGCTACTTTCTCTCGCTCAGTTTAACTTGCTAACTAAGTTCTCTTGATCAGGTAATTTAGTTGCTTTTAAAATTCTCTTACTTAATCAGATCATATAAAGTTCCCATTTTTATAATTACTATTTCAAGATACGATCAGAACCATGATAATGTAAATTTTGTCCCAAGGATTTTTTATTTATTTGACAATGTCTGTAATTGGTGTCTTAATTTTCTCTATGTTCCTACAGGGTTTTGTTCTTGATTCTTAATACTTTAGATCGGTATGTTGGTTTCCTGGAAACCGGATCTGTTATCAAGTTTTTCTTGGGTTTATAGATTTTTATTCATCTTACTAGTTAAAGCCTGTTGCATTTTGGGGAAAAGTTCTTGGGATTTATGGCATGATTCATAACCCAAGTAACTAGGGTTTCCGATAAATCGGGACGCCTTTATGAGTTGTCACAAATGTTTCTCATTTGATTATTATTATTATTATTATTATTATTATTATTATTATTATTATTATTATTATTTTCCATGCTGTGATCTTATTGGGATTTGCTTAATTAGACATTTGAGTTCGCGGTGGTTTCAGTTTTTGGTTTGTTGCTTAGCAACTCAGTGTTAACAATTTTTTTCAGTTACATAAAAATTTCCACGACAACTGTGTTAAAAAACAGTGTCCAAAATTCTTTTTCCCAACTTTCCCAGGTGAACAGATTTTCCAGAAATTTAATATTTTGTGCAGAAATAGGCTCTTTTTTGTTGTGACTTGTCTATAAGATTTTTATGCACCTTGTATGACTTCTGTGCTTTCAATTCAGTTCGGCTCAGCTCAACTCATATGATGCTGCATAGTTGCTAGGGTTTATGCCCTATTTTCTTTAGGATCATGCTATATGTACACTGACATTGTTTTTGACATTGTGCCACATGTCATTTCATGAGTGGAAAATTTTTAAATGCAACACACTTTCCCGCCAATTGCAATTTGAAAATGAATGGAGTGTCAACAATCATGTCAACCAAATAATGTACAAATAGCTTAATCCTTTTCTTTAAAGAAGTTGAATATTGTTAGCGTTCCTTTGTACTCTGATTTTTTCATCTGTACCTTGTGGTGAAATAATTAACAAGATCCTATTTTGAATATATGAATATTTTTCTTTTATATAGGAATGGCCATGCAAACTGCTACCCCTTCAGCTCCTAGTGCCCAAGTGGTTGGAAATGCTTTTGTTGAGCAGTACTACCATATTCTTCATCAGTCCCCTGAGTTGGTTCACCAGTTTTACCAGGACACAAGTGCGTTAAGTCGCCCAGAATCAGATGGTGTGATGACAACTGTGACAACCATGAAAGTATGTTTATTGAGAATTAAGTTGCAGATTGGAATATAATTTCAAAATTTTCCTCTAAATTAGTTCTTTTATCTATGCTTTTTCTTTGGTGAATTTGAAATCCAAAAGCTCACATACTAGAGTTGTGCAACAATTTTTTGGGCACAATAACTTTTGGAAAAGTTGTCCGACTTCTGAAAACTCTATCTATCCTCTTAAAATAATGTACACATTACAAACGACTATGCAAAGCTCTATATGCATTGCTATATCATCCTTGCTCCCTCTTTTTGTAAAAGATTCACATTTCTCCCTTCTCTTCATGTCAGGATATCATGCATCATGCATTCTGAGTTCGTTTTGACATTTTAGACATAATATCATATGGCAGTGAATAATAGTACAACTGCACCAATCTTTTACACCCTGCTTTCAAACAACAATAGCTAAAACTAGCATTCCAATCTTCAATGTGGCTTGACCTCGTAAAACTACTATGGCCCGGTTTACACCTCTGTTTCACTTAAGGTCTAAAGCAAAAGAAAGACACAAGCTAACGCTAACTCATGAATTAACTTTATGATGAAGGTAACAAAATGGAGGGTTTTATGAGGTCCATCTTGCCTAGAACATATAGTTATAGCTTCTTTCTTTATTCTTTCTTCTTTTTTCCCCTTTATTTCTGGTTTTGTGCGGTGGACGATTTGAGTAGACTCTAGATTATATTTGATACTCATATTTACTGTATTTAGCATAAGGGAAGGGAGTGGACTCTTGAAATAAGAATGAAATCAAAGGTTGGAGAGAATTATCCTCCTTTTGTCCCCAGGACCAACTAGTAGAAGGCTCACACAATGGGCTAATGTTGCTGCTAATCTTTAAACATTTAAAGGTTTTAAGTTTTAACAAACTGTTACGGGCTAAGCACCGAAGGAAACATAACATACCACATAGCTTTCAAAGAGATTAAATTCACTTAAATTTTTATCTTCTTAATTATCGAGAAAGATTTTTTTAGGATAAAATAACCACAAATAAACTCCTAGACTCGCTAAATTGTCTTATAAAGCTGTTATTTATTCCTGATAAGTAAAATTAATTTGAACTTTTATAATACAATATACAGCCAAAACAAAAAACTTATGCACAATCCTGTTATCAGGGACTACTGAAATTATCTGATTTCTATTAATGACCTTCCATGCAATATTAAAGTGTTTTATGAAGAATAAATTTAACGATATATTGTAATAAGTTCTTTTGTTATTATACCTGCCCATTAACACCCTTAATTTGAATTTTTTCCCGAGGGGCAAACGTTTAGCCTATGTTTGGTTCGGGATGAGATGTTTATGAAAGGTAGAAAAGGATCCAATAAGCTATTGTCGAGCAAGTTTTCTTTTACTTGGAAACTCACATGGACTTCATCAGAATGATATAATAAAAGAAGTAGGAATCATACAATTTCTTGTACCCCATCTTATAGTGTCTGTTTGACACCCATTAATTTATTTTATGGTTGTTACAGGATTATTTTGAACCACACATTCACACAATAACACATATATAGAAAACTTTTTTCTACTTTTTAGCCACACGTTCTCCTAAAAATACCATTCAAAACTAATTTTTCCCAATTAATGAGAATCAAACAGGCTCTTAATCAGATTCTACACCTTTCCCTTGATTTTGTTAAAGAATTAATTCTAGAGCTGCTGGGCTTAGTTAAACATTTGTATTTTCTCACAAGTATTGATCAACTATATCTGATCCTGATGACAATGCAACAAAATAAGTGACATAAGCCTGGCTCTAATTTCATGTTGGACCAGGATATCGATGATAAGATATGTTCCTTGGACTACAAGAACTACAAGGCAGAAATAAAGACTGCTGATGCTCAGGACTCTTATAAGGACGGAGTGATTGTGCTTGTAACTGGGTGCTTGACTGGAAAGGACAATCTGAGAAAGAAATTCACTCAAACCTTTTTCCTTGCTCCACAAGACAAAGGATATTATGTTTTGAATGATATCTTTAGGTATGTTGGTGAGAATGAATCGGACACCAGTGCAGGGGAAATTATTGGAGTTGACAACACACTACCTTCAAATTATCAGACCCCGGATTCAGGTTTGCTTTATCATTACACATCAGTATGCTTTCTTGTCATGATCTTAGATCATTTTTGTTTGGAGTTGATCAGCATGTTCATTTTTTTTTTCAGAGCCTGCTGAAGTATTGGATATTCCCAACCTGAACCAGGCAACTTCTCAAACAGAGGATGTTGAAACTGTTGAGGAGAAAGCTGATGACCTAGTGAATGATGAGATGCAAGTTAGTAACGATATTGATATTCCGGTGGTAGTTGAATCTTATTTGGACGAGAATCACATATCCACAGTTGCAGAATCAGCTACTTCCTCCTCCCAAGAGGATGCTCCAAAGGAGTCATATGCTTCAATTTTAAGTTCACAATCAAAGAAGAGGCCAACCAAAGTTTATGTACCTGCTAATACATTGAGAGTGGCTCCTTCAATAACTGAAAAGCAGTCAATTAATTCAGCAGTGCCTGCTTCAGGCCCTGAACCATCAAGCCCAACTGCACCTGTTAATGAACCTGAAAGTCATGATACCGAGGATGAAGGTATTAGTTTATGCTGTTGTTTGACCAGGCGGGCTCATGTTAAGTTCTAATCTTCGTTTATTAAGGAATTTGCCCTTTTTTGTTATCTGTCATGCAGCATGCACCCTAACAATAATTTTGTAATAAGGGAAGAAAATTATCTTAGAAAGAAAATGAAAATTTTGAGGTGTGAAGCAATTGTTGAAAATTTGCTTCTTGTTCCCTTTCTTGAGCAATTTTTCAGGAAATGTGATTTCACCTCGATTGCTTCATTATCTTGCAGGTGAGGGTCACTCTATTTATATCCGCAATTTGCCTCTAAATATAACGGTTGCTCAGCTTGAGTTTGAATTCAAGAAATTTGGACCTATTAAGAAAAATGGGGTCCAAGTCAGAAGTTCAAGTAGCAAGGTTGGTTCTGTTGACATCTTGTTTTGTAGTTTGTTCCACCTGGCTCGGTATATTCCCCTTACCTCATCTATTTGCAGCAACAAGGATTCTGTTTTGGTTTTGTTGAATTTCAAGAGTTCAGCTCCGTGCAAAGTGCAATTAAGGTTTGTGTGCTTCAAATTCTTGTTCCACCTTGTTTCTTGATTAGTTCTTAGATTTCACCAAGACTTCATAATGAAGTTATTACTTAGCTGAAGAATAAAGTACCCATCATGGCGAATGCTCTTTGATAACGTAAAATGGAGCAGCTGAAGTTTTCCATTTCAAAATGCATGGTTGATTTTAATATCAGAAATTTTGGCTATTTTGTGTTCTTTTACTATTTTCTGCCTTTGCCCTGGTCATCAACTATAGAACTCTATGTGGCCTTGACGCTGGAGAAAAATTAGGTTGAGACTTTCTCAAGGGCTGAAATTCCTGGCTGATTGAGCATTTTTCTATGTTTATATTGGTTAAAAGTATTTTATGGAGGTGACGGATGTCAATAATGCATGCCATTTTTGTGTTGATTACCTTACACTAATATTTGTGCTACAGACCGGTCAAAGCTAAACAAACAAAATCCTACTTAGAAGGAGAGTAAAAGAAATGACAAAACTGTAACCATGATTTTGCCATCCTCTGTTTCAGATGTATGCATGTGTTTATGTAGGTCTGGCCCGAACATGCAAGTATGTGTAGTGGTTGTTTGCAAGCATAGTACGTAAAAGATACTGTTAAACTTTGTCTCGTCATGTTATAGTTTGACAAATTCCGTTGCACCTTATGGCAGACGTATATCCTAGCCGATCAATTTGTTGTTTAAACTGCCTTTGGCTGGTTGCTTTATCTTTCCCATAATTAATTGAAGCCATAGGGCCCTATCTATTTATTCATTGGACCTAGCCTTTTTTTTTTCTTCATTCCAAGAATTCAAACTGGGTTTTGGATCGATCTGATAAAAATGAAATAGCCTTGGAACTCTCAGTTGATACGACGTGCTATTTTTTCCATTCATTCCTAACTTGGGAGGTGGTGATTTAGTAGCAATGGGTAGTGGCAGAGTGGCTTTGTTACCTAAGAGTTGAGGTGAAGTGAAACTATTTAGTAGGTTGAAACAAAAGTTTTGACAAATTGTTGTCACTTACCAGTTAAATGTTCCAATATCCACGTGCAGGTTGGTTAGGTCGGCAAGAGAGGAGTGGATTCCCTGTTGTCTTTAACTTCAAGTGTTAAATGCTTGTGTTTTAGCTTCCTAAACTTCCACCATTTTTATTTTGTGGCACTGTTTTTGCATGTATAATTTGATAATTTTTCCTATTTAGAAAACTTGTTATCAAAATCCTTCAAGAATTATTCCTCCATTTATTCACAATAACAATATTAAGACGATTACAATTCAGGCTTCACCCATAACTATTGAGGATCGTCAAGCTGCAGTTGAAATAAAGAGGACTGCTACTCGAGGTAACTTAAAAAATATTAAGTAATCCATTTCTCTGCTGTGATTCGAGTTCAAGAAATACTGTATAGAAAAGCGTTTGTTAGGATATACTTTTAGGAGACCGATTTGCTCATTATGATATAACTATTGTTTCTGTTACAGTTGGTAGTGCGAGGGGCCGTTTCACTTCTGCTCGTGGTGGCTTTCGAAGTGACAGCTTCAGGGCTCGTGGAAATTTGAATCCTGGCTGGGGCTATGTGAGAAGCGACAGTTTCAGGGCTCGTGGGAACTTTAGCAGTGGGCATGGTGGAGAAGGTTATCAAGGAAGAGGGAGAGGTGGTCGTCGTGAAGGCCCAAGCCAGAATGCCACTTCAACGTAAATTTTTGCCCGAGCTATATTGGTGGCAATTTTGACAGATTGTCGTTGCCTGTGTGAGCACCTTAGCTGAAACAGTAAAAAAAGTTGGCCATGTAGTTTCTAGGATTGCCTGAAAATGAATGGCTTTTGGTGTAGGATTTATCATTCTTTCTAACAAAGTTTTGCGCATGGAGTACTGGACTTGTTCAGAGTAGAGCAATATAACTCGTGCAAGCAACAAATCCTTGTTTTCTATTGGTGGAAAAAAGGTATTCATTTCTACTTGAGGTTTTGTAATTTTTTTTTTACCTTATAAACAGCTTCATGGAAAAACACACAAGAAATTCTTGAACCACTCCAACTACGCATATGTTGAATGTCTATAGGAAAAATACAAGTTTCTTGCATATTAAAACAGCCATATTCTTTGTTCTCTTATTGGACATCAACAAATAGAAAAGTGATTAATACAAGCATTGAAAACAAATATCTGCATTCTTCTGCAGAACCATCAGCGAACCCGCTAATCTAGGGCATCTCATGGAAAAATGGGGGAAAAACTGTACTACAATTTACAAGCAACTACAATGTAAGACCTGAACTGAAACTGACTTAATGGCAGTCCAAGAAGACACCCAAAAACACTTCTCCAATAGAAGTGCAGCGTCATAAATTACAAGTGGACTTGCCTTTACTTGGATTAAGCCTTGTCAATAAAATGATACCTCCATATGTAGCTAACAGGATGGGGGATGCAGTTGTTTTAGTCGTCTTACAACTTGCTTCATTGTGGGACGGGTAGAAAGAGTATCAACCGTACATACAACTGCCAAGTGCAAGACTTCTATCAAATCATCATGTGGACCTCCATCCCACAACCCTGCCGTAAAAAACTCCTTGGCACGGCCTTGGCGCAAGAGCATGCATCCCCAAGTGACTATGTTAAATCCGTGTCCATAGGAAGAGAATGAAGGATCTAATGCTTTCTTATCTGACATCAATTCAAGCAATACAACACCATAACTATAGACATCAGCCTTGTCAGAAACCCGGCAAGTCATTGCATACTCTGGGGCAACATATCCAAAAGTTCCAGCAACACCAGTGGTAGCATGAGTTTCAGACGTTCCAAGTAGCCTAGCCAGTCCAAAATCAGACAAATAAGCGTTGTACTCCTCATCCAACAAGATATTGCTAGGCTTCACGTCACGATGAAGAACCCTTGGCACACACTGATCATGTAGGTAGGCAAGTGCACGTGCTATGTCCAAAGCAATCTTGTGAAGTACCCTCCATTCTACAGCCCTCGTGGACCTTTCCTGAATAAACTTCTCTAGATTGCCACCTGGCAAATAATTGTAAATAAGAAACATCTCTGTTTCACTAGCATGATATCCTATCAAGGTCACAAGATTCGGATGGTGGAGCCTTCCCAGGGTTCTGATTTCTGCGTCAAACTGTTGAACACCTTGAAAACGTCCGAGTGCAAGCCGTTTTATCGCAACTAGCACTCCTGGAGCAACCTCAGCTTTGTATGTTGCTCCAAAACCCCCATTACCAATGCAGTTGCTTGCGTTAAAACTTCCAGTGGAACGCACCACATTCTCAAATGTCAGTGGAACCCCGATGTCAGTAAAGACAATAACTTCCTTCCTAGCAGTTCCACTCACTCTGGACCTCGGTTTCCTTTTTCTAGTATAAAAGAAGAGGACAATAAGAGCAAGAAGAACCGACACAATAGCCGCTGCGGATGTTATGGATGCAATCACAATTGAGTTAATACCACCACTCCCACTCTCTTGGCTTGGCGTTCTCAATGGATGGCCCGGATCTTTTGGCGAGTCCCCCGTCCTTCCCTGTTGATCAGCAGAGGATGATGAATCAAGCATACGGCAGTGGTTCAGAAATGGGTTTCCAAGGACACTATTGCATTTCATCAAATTATCGTTCTGAGGAAGTGGCCCAGACAAATTGTTGAAGGAGACATTAAATGATGAGAGCATGGCCACATTAGCCAAGTTCAGGGGAATTTGCCCGGAAAGGTTATTGTTGTTGAGGAGAAGCAAAGTCAAGTTCCTCAAATTGGCAAGATCTTTCGGAATCTCACCCGATAAAGAGTTCGAAGACAGGTCGAGCACTTTTAAAGAGAACAGCTGTCCTAAGCTTGCAGGGATGGGACCGCTCAGGTTGTTTCCAGCCAAAGAAAGTCGTTCAAGATTTTTTATCTGGCCAAGACTGATAGGAATTGTCCCACCCAGTGGATTCCAACTCAAATCAAGAGCCGAAAGTGACGCCAAACCATTGATGCTAGGAGGAAGAGTCCCAACAATTTGGTTACGGGAGGCATCTAAGAGTATCAGAGACTTGCACATTGTGCTAGAATCTGGTGGAAAAGCACCAGAGAAACCGTTATTGCTGACGTTAACCATCATACCACTCACTCGATCACATCTCTCAAATAAACTTCCAGGAAATGGTCCACTGAGCTTGTTTCGACCAGCAAAAAATGCATACACAGTCTGCTTCCCTAATCGTTCAGATGCAATGGTCATTGATTGCACAGAGCCTGTAAGGTTGTTAGAATCAAAATTATGGAACACTGTAAAACTAGCACTGTCGCCAAATAATGGCAGAGGGGTTTCGATCCTAGTTCTGTATGTGAAATACGATATATAAGCAGATGTTGACTCGTTGACCTTTGAGGGATCTCCACTTAAAGATTGGATTGGAGCACAAGCTTCGTTATTAAATTTGGGAATCGAGCCTGACAGATTATTCCCACTGATATCAAATAGAGTCATACAAGGAACAGGAATTTTGTCAAAGATCTCCCCTGTGAGTCTGTTTGAGCTCAAATTAAGGAAATGCAGCTTCTTGCAGTTGCTAAATTCCTCGGAGATTTTTCCAGAATGATAGTTCTGAGCCAAATTCAGCATCTCTAAGTTGTCGCAAGAACCCCACCTACCTGGCAACGGTCCTTCAAGAGTTGCTCTGGGAGCCCACACCATCCTCAATCTAGGGAGAATGGTAATTTCTGCTGGAATCGTGCCATCATAAAAATTATACTCATCAGCTGTGAATGCCAACTCTCTCACCAAGAAACTATCTCTGGAACTAGAGACATTAAGAAGTGGGTCCCACAAGTTTGACAGCACAAGGACAGATAGCTTGGAACAATTTCCAAGCTCAGACGGTATAGAACCGCCAAGACTATTCCTTGATACATCCAATACTTCAAGCTGACTCAACTGACCGAGTTCACTAGGAATAACCTCCTCCAACATATTTGAGTACAGTAGAAGCGTCTTCAAACCTCTGCATTTCCCAAGACTTTTTGGGATCCCTTCACCCAAGATATTCCCTGCCAGCTCCAAACGCTCAAGCTTCCCACAATTATCCCCAATCTCACTTGGGATAGTCCCACTAAGCTGATTAAAGGACAGGTAGAGTCCCCTCAAATCTATAAACCCACTGATAAACTTTGGAATCGTTCCATTCACTTGATTTCCAGCTAAATTCATGACTTGTAGACCCTTACAACTTGACAATGAACTAGGGATCTCCCCAGAAATCTTATTAAATCCCAGGTTAAGAATTTTCAAAATTTTCAACCCCTTAAATTGCACAGGCAGTGACCCAGAAATCAAATTCCCTTCCAGATCAAGAACCTCAAGCTTTTCCATACCCCAAATTTCAACAGGAATCTCACCACTCAATTCATTGAAAGGCAGCGACAAAATCTTAAGTTCAGTAAGTTTCGCAATTGAAGGGGGTAATATACCCAAGATTTCAACTTTACTATTGCTATCCTGACAAGGCCTTCTAATTCCAAACCCATAAAGTGGAAATTGAGAAATTCTAGCACAAGACAAAGAATTACCTCCACCAGTGATATTCAACGCCACGACCCGAGAACCCGAATCGCAAGAAACCCCTAACCAGGAGCAGTGATTTTGGCTGTTTAAATTCCAGCTGGCCAGCACTCCAGAAGGGTCTGAAATTGAACCCTTGAACTCCAGCAGAGCAGATTTATCCGCATCGGAACCCCAAACCGTGTGCTGTTGAACCGAAAACAACACCCAAAGGGAAATTAACAGCTTCAACGGCTTGTGCAGGCGGAACCATTTTATCATAAAAGAAAGACGACCCATTACTCAAACCAACAAAGGTCCTTAAAAAGCTCGAGCAAAGTACGGGCCCTTCCTTGTCTCCCTCTTTAAAATGAAACCTCAAGCTTTTCCATACCCCAAATTTCAACAGGAATCTCACCACTCAATTCATTGAAAGGCAGCGACAAAATCTTAAGTTCTGTAAGTTTCGCAATTGAAGGGGGTAATATACCCAAGATTTCAACTTTACTATTGCTATCCTGACAAGGCCTTCTAATTCCAAACCCATAAAGTGGAAATTGAGAAATTCTAGCACAAGACAAAGAATTACCTCCACCAGTAATATTCAACGCCACGACCCGAAAACCCGAATCGCAAGAAACCCCTAACCAGGAGCAGTGATTTTGGCTGTTTAAATTCCAGCTGGCCAGCACTCCAGAAGGGTCTGAAATTGAACCCTTGAACTCCAGCAGAGCAGATTTATCCGCATCGGAACCCCAAACCGTGTGCTGTTGAACCGAAAACAACACCCAAAGGGAAATTAACAGCTTCAACGGCTTGTGCAGGCGGAACCATTTTATCATAAAAGAAAGACGACCCATTACTCAAACCAACAAAGGTCCTTAAAAAGCTCGAGCAAAGTACGGGCCCTTCCTTGTCTCCCTCTTTAAAATGCCGACGAATTATAGAAAAACCCCAAACCAAATTTAGGGTTTGCCCTCACTATTTTCTTGTTAACAAAGTCTAAAGAGAGTTAAGAGACGAGTCTTTGAAAGAGAGAGATAGAGAGAGAGAGAGATGGGAACAGTGGTGGTTGTTCATTAAGAAAGCGCGTTCATGTTCACATTTCATTTTTCTGTCTTTCAAATTTCTTCCTTGAGTTTTAACCTCATTTTTGTCTTAACAATGAAATAAAAATATTTTTATTTTTGTTAAGACTCATCGTCTCGATTGCTTGAGAATATAAACTCTTAAAAGTAAAATTTATTATTACTTAACAAGTATAGGTTAATATTTATATCATGATAAAAAAAAATTTCTTTTATTCTACTTTGTCACAGAAAGTTACAGTAGTTATTTTTTCCAAATAAACATCTCGACACTAAGAATTTATATTATGAAATGATTTGAACGAATAACTACTTTTTCACGTTAAATAATTTTTTCCATTCTTTTAACCAATCATAGAGAGTTACGTTTGCTTTTTATGAAACAATACTTTATTTTATAATTTTAAAAAAATATTAGTGAAATTTAGAAGTATTCATACATGATAACAAATTATTTTTGTTGGGTCCGGATATTTTAGCTTCAGTCGAGTTTATTTCAACTTTCAAGCACTATATTTCTCTTGTTTCGCTCGATTGATGAGCATTTTTCTTTTATTTAATTTAGGTGTGTGTAATTTATTAATTTAGTCCCTGTTTGATCCCTATTAAGTGGAAAAATTAATGGGTGGAATAGTATTTATTCGAAAAATGAGTGGTTGAAAAAGATTGAAAAATTTTCGATTTACGTGTAATATTATTTTATGAAAGATTGTGTTGTTAAAAATAGAAGAGAAAAAAATAAAATATATTGTAATTTAATGTAATAGGCTCAAACAGGGGCTTATTGTTTTCTACAAGAGTAAAAAGTCTACTTGCGTGGATGGGTGACGGTGGTGGGGTCTGAGTTGACGCAGACTAGCGAAGGGCGGATGGAACCACCGCTCGGTCAATAAATGCATAGAGCCCGTCAATTGGGGTGGGGTGGATTTAACCCAGAATAGGTTTTTGATGTTGATGGCCTCATTGTTTCCAAATTTCATATTATTTTGTTACAAATAACTATATAAAATCAAAGTTTCAGCACAAAAGTTATAAAAAACTGAACAGCATGTACAAAGAGAAATTTGATATTAATATTAGGGACAAAAAGATTAGGATTCAGTTTCTCCCAAATTATACAAAGTGTGAAGTTCTCAACACTCTTGAAATAGCATTAAAAAAATAAAAATAAAAAGAAACTCATTTGCGAAGAATGAATTGTGAAACAGAAGAGAATTCCAAGAAAAAAAATTAAAAAGAGGAATAGAGACCTTTTTCAAAAGAGTTGTGCTTATGGTGCATTATTTTGGATCCGCACGGGCGTCCATATACTCACATGGATCTGAAAAAATAGGAGAAAACTGTGAGTTAAGATAGGATTTCCTTATATTTATATGAAGAACCTGAGTCATTGGTCAAAACAAGATCCAAGGGCTACAAAATTTCACCTAGCTATTTGAGCAACACTTTAAAAAGTATTGGATGCTCTCTCGAAGCAAATTGACTAGGGCAATTGCTATAAAATTGCTAGTAGTAAATGATATTGGAGCATATTTCTCATCTCAAGAATCTTCTAGCGAATGGGAGGAGTTGAGAAGGTCATTGAGTTGAGAAAACAAATCACCTCAAATGTTAACCCTAAAGATAAATAGATTGTAACGACTACTTTTGAATCTTGTGTTGCTCATAAAAGACATGTCCGTGGATTTATAAGCATATCGAACATCCTTCTTTTAACAAATCTTAGGAGCTTGTTGGGTTTCATTTCTAAGTTACTTCTCTATTTCTAGATATCTAGTCAACCTTTTAGAATGAGAACGAAAAAAACTTTTCAACCACATTAAATGTTAAAAAGGTGAGGCCAGCAACGGCAAAACCTCAATTATTTGTTACAAATAATACATTCAAGAGCTAAGGCAATAGTAGTGACAACTCTTTCGTATCACTTTGTCCAACCTCAGTTTATCAAGCGTGGATTCACACGCTGAAAGGGCAAGCAACAAAAACACTCACAAAAACATCTCGATTACATGTATGTTTTGTCCCTTCAAAATTGATCATAATGATCAAAAGTTCAAAAACGAGTTAGTGTACTTTTGTTCAGCAAAGCCATTACCGGTTTCTCAAGAGAAATCAAATACAGATAAGATCCTAAAACACATCAAAGCCCTCAATCAACCAATTCAAATGGCGATCAAACACTCAGCGTAAGAGTTGTACCAACCCAACAAATCTTTATCACATACATAAAATGAATTCGTATAGAAAATAAGCAATCTCGTATTCACATAACTCAATGAGAAATTCAATTATGTCATGTCTTACTCGTACCAGATAGAACATTGCATGCAGTGAGCTTCTATTCCCGGAATGAGAGTTTATTATCATTGCCGGCTGCCGCCTCCTTGTTAGAACATCTGAAACTGACTGCTCTTCGTGAAGCAGCTGTACCAAGGACAAATTTACAACTCTTTGGGGACACAAAACAAATGGACAGAATTGTACGCTTCAGGACTCGATCTCTCTTTTGTACAAGAACCATGATATGCAAACAATGAACTGTTCCTTCAAAGCAAAAATCTATTCTGGTGAGCTATTTGGTCAACAGACAAATAAGCAAGTAGCTTAAATGAATGGTCACCTTAAGAAGGCCGTAAGCAACCAAATATAATTGATCCGTAAGTAATATCTTTTAACAACAGCGTGGCCAACAGAGGAAGGACGAAAACCATCTTGTCCCGGAGGCTTTAGGATTTGCCTCAGAAACTTGCGACTCCAACTGCGGTTTCGCACTAACCACCCTGGGTGAGTCAGTTTTTTCACGATCATTGACGAATCTGAGAAAAATATGAGGGGTCATATAACGCTTCCACTGTAATTTTTCAAGCTTAATAGAGAAATCACATTTTGTTATTAAGAAGAAAAAATCATACTTGAAGAAGGAAAAAACTCAGCTTGACAAAAACACATGAAGTATTATCAAGTTCACCTGACTGAGAAATCATTAGGCAGAGGAGAGAAACATGACGAAAGGGGGTGTTGTGGGGGATCACAAACAGACACAAAATGATAGATTCTAAAGCTAATTCAGTAGGGATGGAACGATATTCCTTTCCAATTTCATTCCATGATTTTAGATGTGAAGTCCTTCACATGGGCACAAATTGAGTTTCATATGTTTCTAAGACAGACATGTAATAAGTTCGTAAATGAGTCCATGAGCATTACATTTTTCCAATTGATTTAGTGGATACATGTATAGCCATGTGAATTGAAACTCTAGAAAAAGATCTTACACTGGGAATGCAAAAGAATGGCCGCTGTTTCCACTTTCATTAGAAAGGCGAGGGAGACTTGGCAAAGTGAGAGGGACACCTGATGAAGTAAGAGTAGCCTCAGAAGGAGGCGTACCTTTACCATCTCCTGCATTAGTGGCAGTAACAGGAGGATGGATTTCCTCAACAGGAGCTATATTTTCCTTTTCGTGATTCTCTACCATTTCCACTGTGGCCATCTTCAGGCTATTACTGTGATCTTCTTTTATGACACTAGATGCCTTACCCAATTTTAAACTATTTTCATCATGTCCGGGTACTTCAATAACTGGAGGAAGGACGGAAGGGAAGCTGTTCAACTCATTAGATCTGGCTTCGGGAAAATATTGAAGATTTGATGGTGAATTGTTCCACTCTTCTGTCCTGGGGACTTCTCCAGACTTGCCCAGAAGAATTGCTTGATCTCTAGAGAAGCTGTTGTTCCCCATATGAATGCTAAACAATGATTCATTGGAAGTAACACTCCATTCCATAGCTGATGTAGGTTTAGGAGAAAAAATAGATGACGGAATACGATTTGGATCATAACCTGCAGGACGCCCCATTGTTTGGACTGGAGGAGATTGCATTTGGAATGTACCGTTGGTGTTCCATTCTGGAGTCTGGTAGGATGTTCCTGGTGATGATAGAAACCCAGCTTCAGCACGTGGAGAGGCACTTATCATGCTCCAGTTAGGTGTCTGACCAGAAACATCTGGTGATGATAAGGGTTCTGGTTCAGATGACAGAGTTCCATCTTCTCCCATTTTGGCAGAGTAATCAAGATGATCCCTTTCACCAGTATTTAATTCCAGAGAAGAACTAGATGAAGAAGATACAGAAGAAGAAAAGCCTGAAGCATTTGCTTCCAGAAGTGGTTTGCCATCTTCATGCTTAACCTTAGAGTTTTTATTTACATCATTGCTACCACTCACATATTCAGATTCCATGGCTCATGGGACTAGTCAAGTCCTCGGAGATTTACGACATCTCATGTGATTGATAGTTAATACTTCACAATGAAGAAAAGAAGAATATTAACAAGTGAACTAGGACAACTAGGAAGTTGCAATAAAATGACATCATCAGTTAAAATCTTGCACAGGAGATAAAAGATTCATTCAAAGCCTGCCAATTTCCCATCTCGTGTAATTTCATAAAGAATACATGAAAAGAAAAGAAACACTAATTTGTAATTACTGAAAGATTCTTGCATTAATTAGGTTTAAAACTACTAAACCTAAGTTATCACGTACATCTATTTATTGGTTCTACCGTCCTCTAAAATTACTAAAAGGCTCCAGAAAAAACATGAGAGAAAATATACTGAAAGGAGGAAGAAATGTTTTGACTAATTCACGTTATGCAAATCATTTTAACAATTAACTTGTGAATAAAAAGAAACTCTTCCCAAAGTTCAGGAGCATTCATTGGGGAGATTATGACATCTTACAATTAAAACATCATGATGAATTCTGGCAAAACACAGTGGGTATCATACTATTTATAAGGCTTAAAAGGCTTTGGATGAAACATGATAGAAATTTAAAATATAGTGAAAGGAGGAAGAAATGTTTCGACAAATTCACATTATGCAATCCATTTAAAAATTTACTTGTGAATAAAAGTGACTCTTCCCAAAGTTCAGGAGACTACTCGTTCGGAGTTTATGAAGAAAAAATGCAGTTTAATGGTTCTGTCTCAAGTAGTAGGGCTCAAATATTTCTGGATTGAAAGACAACAATCATTCAAACTGACAATACTCAATGAGAAAGCATGGAATGCGTGCAATTTATGTTGAGTACCCATTCATTATCACTGGTAATCAACAAGCCTTGGCCCAACAGTCCAGTCCACGGGAGATATAGGTTTGCTCCCAACCAGGGCCGGTTATCCCATAACAGTCGTGGAAGGAGCTTTACCTCTTGAACTAACTTTTGGGGTTGAGAAGACCCGAGACAACCCAACAATTTAAACTTTTTCATCTATAATCTTTAGTCCCTGTAGGTTATTTTTCCAAAAAACTCTGCATTCATGATCATTAGATTTTCTATCCCGCCATTTTTAATATCAAACAGTTGGAATATAATTAATCTGTTTAGAAGAGGTGATAACCTAATAAAGCTTACAATTGAACATACAACGTAAATTACAAATGCCAGAATTTAATTAATCTGTTTAAAAGAGGTGATAACCTAATAAAGCTTACAATTGAACATACAACCTAAATTACAAATGCCGGAATCTTGTCTACATTGGAGGACTAGTTATATCAAACAACGCCGAGATTGAAACCCATGGAAATACGCATGAACTTACTTTTGTAATTCTGAAATTACCTGAAAGGAGATGAAAATTCGGTGCTCAAGGAGATTGAATTACGGTTTATTATGGGAGAAAGTTTTAGCCAGAAATGGAGGCACAATCGGCCCTTTTCCTGTCATTCAGATTGGCTTTGAAATTGCAATCAGCCGTACCATTTTTGTGCAGCAAAGCGGGAAGGTTAGTTAAAAGAACAAAAAAGGTTGAACCCAACCTTGAGGCCCCACGGCCCCGTCTCTAGAGCTTTGTGAGGAAGGTAAATCGTGGGACGTGCCCTACCAGATCAAGGAACAAGAGCTGCATGTACACTTCGCCTACAAAGAGTCCAATTCCATATTTCAGGATCGAATCCACACACTGCAATTGCCAGCAAGGCATGAGATAATCTCATTCCTGTCTTTTGCACCATTAGGCTATGCCCCGAGGGGCAAAAAATGGGAAGGTTAGTTGCTATTAGACAGAGGGGATTGATAGAATTTTCTCTTTTTCTTCGTACCAAAATGCAAAATTGTAAATGTTTTGTGTGGCACAATGGCATCCTGGTGAAATATAGGGACAAAAGAAAAATAACCAGTATTTGGATAAAAGTATAATTCTCTAACAGTGCATTTGATTGCAAGTATGGAATTTGTATGAAAAGAAAATAAATTCTAAACAATTCAATTAGTTAGAACTTATTTGTATGAAAATTCTTAATTAAACGTGTTTGATTAATTTAGTTTTCAACTTAAAAAATATTAGACTTGTCCATTTTTATTGGTAGATAGATAAGAAAGAATGGATAGATAAGAGAGAAAGAGAGAGTGGATTCTTAGAAAAATAAAATCCTATTGTCCTAAAAAATTATTTTCCTTAGTTTTGAGGAAAATATTGTCACGTAACCAAAAGTGAAAAAATATTTTTCATGAAAAAATCTCAATCAAACAACATAAAAAAAAAACTTGGGTAAAAAACAAACATTTTTATGAATAATTTTAACAATCAAACATTTTTAGTAGATTTTGATAAATGTTTTTGAAATGTATAGTTAAAAAATTGTAGAATGCATGAAAAATGTGATTAATATTGATTGTTTAACTTTGATTCAAATTAAAATTTGAGCCAAACTAGGGCTAAATATCTTCCCCATACTTTTGCTCTCTATCTTCACGAGTTAAATATTTCATTGGCCATTGAACTTTGCACTTCATTGTGATTTTACTCACCCAACTTCAAGAATTGTCCCATTGACCACTGAACTTAGGTTCGTTGCTTCCCTTTAATCACTGAAGGAATTTTGTCTTTAACTCAATCTAGGTGGAACGCGGTAAATCTACGTGATCCGTTAAATGCTTAAGTGGTCGTCCACACTAGCCAATCACGCCTCAGCTTCAACTTCACCGTTTGCCCACCATGTCCTTCTCAACTAAACCCACTGGAAAGCTTCTCCAACACCTTCAACTCTAAATTTCCCCACCTCTTCCCTAGCCCTTCAAAATCAAGATAGTGCTTCTAATTTGCGATGACAGTAGTCTACGAAGGCATAATGGCCAGTCCACCTCCCACTTCCTTTGCTGGCTGTCCCCCTAAGAACAAAAAACTTGAAAATCAACCGCTATTACATATGGCCTTAGTTGGGGCTGTCCACATTGCTCCTAAAGCAAGAAAACAATTCCCAACTAAGAAGTTTTCGAACACCAATGAAATTATTCACAACCCCACTATTAATCAGGTATCATTTTTTATGGTCTTCTTATTTATCTTCCATTCAAACTTCAAAAATATTGGAAAGTAGATGATAGTAGAGTTGAAAATGTTGGTTCATTTGCTCCTTTTATCAGCCTATTGGTTAATAGATTGTTCAGTCACTTATATTTGGAGCGTTTAGATTTGATCTAGATATACTCTTCTAATGTTATCGGCTTCATGATGTAGCATAACATAGACATAGAAGCAATCACACGGAAGGAGAAGACAGGGAAGTAGAAACCAGATAAAAGAAAGAGAAAGAAGTAGTAGAAGAAGAGAAGGAGGGGCGGTGGAAAAGGAGAAAATGCCTGCAATACTCCAATTAATTCATTCTACCATCAATCTGTCTCTTACATAAAGGCTGCATACATATATAAATTTCAAAACATAAAAGGGCCCTGGGCCAGGCCATAAATACAGCCCAATTAAACTAATAAAGCATGAAATAAATAACACCCAAGTAAAAGCCCAAAATAGGCGATGTCATCATCAACTCTCCCAGGGTGAGAGGAAAAACTCGACTCAGTTGAGTGGATAAGACATAAAAGATCATGGCGGACGATCTTTCTGAAGAACCAAATATCGAAACTCAAGCTTGATCCAGATTTGTTGGAGCGTCGATCTGACAATCCATATAGAATCAGACTCAGGTTGATCCACCCAACGAATAAGAAAGCACCGAATCTTTCTATCATTGGTCAACACAATCTGTTAATCTAAAATAACATCAATTTTGTCATTGCGTGCTGTGACAGGTAGTATTTGAATGGACATAGCAAAAGATTCAGTGTGAGAGTTCCCAGGTGGAGGTAGAAAAGGATCATCAAAAGTGTTAAAATAGCCTTTGTAAGCGTCGAAGTTCTTAACAATTAAAATAGGTTGGTGGTCATAATGTGATGAAAGATCATAGACATACGCATTTGGACCAACATGCTTTGAAATTTTAAAAGGACCAGCATTACGGGCTTGCAGTATAACATAATCCCCAATGTTAATCAAAATGTTGTTTATGTTAATCAACTCGAGATATATATAATACATTACTTGCGTCAAATTGTTTATTGATCTCAGTATGCAAATCATGAAGATAATACACAAATGCTCTAGCTGACAATGATACACTAGCATGCAGGGACATGGGAATAAAATCTAACGGTCGCCTAGACTTATAACTATAAACAACTTCAAATGGATTTAGATCTAGAGATCGATTCATAGAATTGTTATATACAATTTTAACAGTTGGAGGGATCAAGTCCCAATTCTCAAGATTTTTCTAGACTAGAGACTTGAATAAATTGCTAGGACTTTGGTTAACGACTTCATTTTGACCATCAGTTTGAGGTTGGTTTGCATTGGAGAATTTCGATTTAATGCTAACCATAGGCGACTGGGTTCTCCAAGAGTGACTAGTGAAATTATGGGACATAGTATCTAGAGTATCAGGAAGAGTCTGGATGCCACCTAAGGAGGTGTCCTCACTATCATCATCATCATCATCATCAAAATCTTCAAGTTTTGGTTCATGTACTAGATTTTCTAACGACTTTTCTATTACATTCTTTTGTTCTTCTATGACTAAGGCTCTATTAGAACATTTGGAAGAGATGTGGGCAAAGTCCTTACAGCTGATGCATAGCAAGAGAGAAGAAGTTATTGGAGTTTCACAAATTTTACCCTTATTTTTCAAGATTGGAGGAACATTACACGGGAGAGATCCTAGAAGAGAAGTGGAGCCAATGAGACAGAAGAATGGTTGTCAATACGCCTTCTATATAGAGAAGGGGGCCTTGGACTATCATGACCTTTACACTTATTTTTTCAAATGGGAGGAACACTAGACGAGGAAGGCTCTATGACAGACTCATGTTGAGGTGATGCTAATGACATGGGTGAACGATGATGATCGCGCTTTTCATATGGAGTAATAATAGTCAACTCATAATCTTGGGCTAAAGAATAAGCGCGATCAAGAGTAGTGACACCTCGAAGGAAAAGCTCATGCCTAAGACTATCTCTTAGACCTGAGCTAAACCTACTCAAAGTCGTGGTCTCATCCTCAATGACATGACATTTGGTTCGGAATTTCTCAAATTGTGCAATATACTTAGTCACTAATCGATTCCCTTGTTTAAGAGCAGTCCATTGAGTAAAAACTTCAAAATCTAAGCAACCATCAAAAGTAAGAGTGTTTAATTTAATGTCTCTAAAGTAACTTTCCTTATGACGAGGAAAGGAATGAGTACCGTGATGGTCATAGGCTCGTTCTCGCCCACGAACTCGATCCCTATCACTATGATCGTATCGAAAATATTTTTAATCTCCTCGTCAATGAGGACAGTGTCTATTGCGGGATACTTTAGAATTTTCAACGTCGACTGAATGAGGGATTTGCTTAAAATTGTTCAAATTAGCAGAGATGGCCTTATTATCTTCAAGAGTAACAGTCATCTGGGTTTGGATAACTGCTATTTGTCGAGTGAGTGTATCAAATTGTGAAGAGTTCATATTTAGGTATTAGAACTAGAAGTGACAAGACGACAAGTATGCATGTACTGTATAACAACTAAATGACGTGTAATAGAGAGATCAATGAACAATAAGTGCAAGCAATGAAAAATAACAACTCGAGCCCCCCTTTTTTTTAATTTTTAATTTTAGGATTAAATAAATCCAAATACGACAAGCTTATACTCCTGGTATATGTAAAATAGCAAAGCAATGATCAAATACTAGTCAAAACATAATCAAGTAAAATAAGTGAGGTAAAAGTGGAATTTAATGAAGGTAATGGGTCCAATGACGTGAGTTAGGTAAAAACTAGAATAACAGTAGCACACAAAAATATTGATATAATTTTAAATTAACAGTAATATAAACCAAATATAGATAAAAATTCAGTAACTCCCCTTTTTGTTCACTAGAATGACTAGGTCGATCAACAGGACAAGAAGGGATACCTACAAAACGATGTTAGAAAATACATTTTTTTGTCTCTCTTTCTCTCTCTTTTTTGGTTCTCATCTTTTTTTTTTCTTTCTTTTTTTCCTCTCTCTTTCTCTTTCTTTTTTTCCTTTTTTTTTTCACTTACAAAATCAAACAAAATTACATATGAACAATAGGGCAATAACTAAGCCCACTTTACAAAATTGGGCCCAAATTAAATTCAAATTTTCAATCAAACACAAGCCTAAGCCCAAGCCTAGAGTAGTAACTAATAAAGCACAGCCCGATTGAAAATATATGCCCAATTACACGACAAATCTGGATCGACTGTTGGCGGTGCAGGAATCAACTGGGGGCTGCTGGAGTTGGGATTTTGGGAGGTGATCGGGGAAGGAGAGAGTTAACTATTTGGGTCG